TATTCTGAAAACGATACGCACAAAAGTTTACTAGTGAATCGGTTTACAATAATGGTTAGTTTATCAGTGAGTTAAAAAAGTTTTATAGTTTTCAATAACATCAAAGCATTCCAACAGGGAAACTATCATAGTTTAAACAATAAATGAGGATATTTAGGGGAGACAGAAGATTAATAAAATAAGAACAAAATATTTATTTAATATTAATTTATTTTTAAAACTATTGTTTTATTCAGATTACTGACTGCATGACTGAGAAAATTCCCCAACATATGATAACTTAAATGATTTAAAATAATAAATGAAAATTATTGCTGTCAAAATTCAGACATTCATTATATTTATTAAATATGAACAAAAGGACAATTTGAACACAGACTAATTATAGTCACCAATATCTTCTATAATTATGACAAAAAAGAATAGATGGACGTGACAATTTGAATGGATATATGAGCAGTTAATTCAGATTGGAGGAATTTATTAACAAAAGTCCATTAAGACTAGCTAGTATTGTTATCACAAGTGTAGTTGTTTATTTGTTAAACTGATGAAACTTTATCCAAATACATTTTATAAATATTGATAATTAAGAGGACCCAATAATTAGAAAATAAAATTTATGAAGAGAAATGTATTGAGTATTCATCTTAGTAATATTATTTCTTCCAAGTTAGATTATTTCCTTGCAGAGAATTCATTTGCATTCGTGACAAAACCTTTAAAACCTATTTCATGTAGAAGAGTGCTTTCAGTTATTGAACAAGTGTTGTCTCAGCTTGTCCTGATGAGGTTGTTTGAAATCAGCTGTTTTGGTAGAATTCGTTGTCTTTATGCAGGCGATCATGGACATATACTCAATTAGATGGAAGTTGAAATCCTGGATCAGAGAAAATCTGAGCATACCAGAGGATTTTTCAAAGCACGGCATTAAAATCAACCGACAGTTAACAGGAACATCGACACAGACACAATCTTTCGACGCATATGAAAGACACAAATTAATTGCAGACCATAAGTCCAGAGACAAAAGCAGTCGACATGACCCCAAGAACAAAAACAACAAAATCTATCAACACATCCACCTTCAAGCCCGTAAAAGCACGGGAGACCAAATCAGTGACAATCAAATCCTTTCCATACCTATTAATAAATCTCTTATCTACACGACCAACACTTCTTTTATTCCTTTGTCACCTAGCGCCGCTGATACAAACGTTCTGAGCTCACGAAATGTTATTCCTGGTTTAATGAAACCATGTTCTAAACAACATGCTGGAACTTTTAATGTTCGAATATTGTATCGAATAATGCAACGTTTCCTTAGCTAGGACTCCGGAATCTCATACTATCGATGTATGCTGCGTCTCCGAAACGCGCATACAGGATCCGAATAAAAACATACATTCAACATAATCTAGTCAGCATAAAGAACTGTCGCGATTCGCGCTTCATGTGTCCGGAGACCGCACTGCTATTACCAGTGGCCTAGCTGGTGTAAGTATTACACTGAGTCCTAGGGCAGAACTAGCTCTCTTAGACTCAATCCCAGTAGACAACCACTTATGCGCTATCCGACTAAATGGGACAGTAAGGAGTCGGAAAGATAAGGAAACTAGCCATTACCTCTTCGTTATCTTACAGTACACTCACACTGACTGCAGTTAAGATGGGATAAACGATGAGCATTACAGAAAGCTTTCTGACCTACTTAAAAAACTTAAGCGCTCTGATGTAGTAATAATCGCTGGTGACTTCAATGCTCAAGTAGGTAGACTAAGTGAAAATGAAAGACAACTGGTGGATCTAATGGTGTCACGACTCAAAATACAGACAATGCCGACCGTCTGCTGATGCACCTATACTAAGAAAACCGCCTATTTCTAGCAAATACCAACTTCAAGCATAAGGAAAAACATCTATTGACACGACGACCCCCAAAGTCGTCTCAACGCCGGATCCGACTTTACCATATCGCTTTCAGCCACCGATGGAGAGGCTCGATAAAAGACTGTCGCTCGTTCCGGAGCACATGTTTAGATTCACAACATGCTCTAGTACTAGCGCGTATTTTTCTGCGTCTTACTGCACGCAGCAAAACCATCGCAAGGAAACCCTCCACAGTTCTACCTAATACAAACACAGACAAAACTATGTTTCAGGAGCAACTAGGCAGTCACGTAAGTGATGCCCACCCCGAGCCAGATTGGAATAATATCCAGAATGCCGTGGAAACAGCAGTGATATATGACAGTAAGTTAAAACAAAAAGGTTAGGAAGTAGCCGTGCATCTCAGTAGCATGCTCGGAAACTCATCTCGTCTAGCTCCGAACACAACCAACAGGGGAGTCAGCTTTATCGCAGGCTCATAACAAGCTTACACAATGATAGCGAACAGTAGTGAATAGCAAAAGCAAGTGCGATGGAAAAGGCCGCGATGATAGTTAACAGTAGACAACTTTTCAGTATTATCACGAAAACGCGTACTAGGAATACAACTGTTAGCGAGACTATCTTGGAGGAGGATGGGACTATTATTCATTCTCAATCCAGGAGATCGCACCGATGGGTAGAACACTTTAGGGATCAGTTCAACTGGCCTTCAGGCAAACTTCGGCTAACCACAATCTCCAGTCGACCTGAATGGCGAACTGAAGTAAGTCTTCAGAGTCTTAACGAATTTGAAAAAGCTGTAGGAAATCTAAGGCAGGGAAGAGCAGCGGGCCCTCACAGGCTAACCCCTGAGATTCTTGATGATGGTCATCCAGTTTCGGCAGTGAGACTGACTGAGATCTTAAGCAGAATCCGGGAACTGCTGCATAGTACACTCCGTCCTATTATACGAATGCGAAACGACCGGCGAGAGTAGAGGACATTCGTAGACTGCTTGTCTTCGATCACAGGTGTCTCCGAATCAATGCTCGTATATCCTGGGACAACCGAGTAAGCAGTGCTGTCGTTAGGAAACGAGTACTAGGTAGGGATGGCAAATCAAGAGATGAAGTATTGAAACTTCGTCACCTGAGGTGGTTGGGACATGTGCTGCGTATGCCTAACCACCGACTGCCTCCACGAGCTATGTTTTGTGGTGTAGGAGTAGGTTGGAAGAAAGCTAGGGGCAGCCAAACCAAAACACGGAACAAATTCATGACGTCACTGACAACTGGAGTCATGTTGGTAGGTGTCCACTACCTTGTTGGGGTCCGCGGAACAATAGTAACCGATGGTTAGAGACTATGAATTACACGGATCAAAATCGTTTGCAATGGTACAGGTGAATCCATTCTTTGTATTCTGTCTCATCATCTTCATGTTTCGATTCTCAAATATATTTCACTGGATTATATTCCTTGAACTACATCTTCAAGCCCTGACCTTTTCGATTACTGCTTGTACTTCTACTGCCCCTCTACTACTATTGGATGTGAATCGACAATTTTATCACTGCACTAATGTGGTATGGCAACTTGAACTGATGTACGTATGTAACAAGGTGTTTGTTGTAGCTGACTGATTGACCACACTTATCAGACTACATTATATCCATTGTAGATAGTATCCATAGTAGATAGTATATCACAGAGCCCTATCTAAGTTATTTGCGGCGATCAAATAATAGTGTGATATGAATTATTAACGTTTGTACATAGTTCATAGCACAAAACTGCTACATGTCACCATATTTCAAATCAACTTGCGATGAATGGAAGGTTCGGGTGTATTTAATCCTATTTTTGTTTCATTTACTGTACCCCTTAGTTGTACTGAAACTGATTATTAGATACGCTTTAGAGGGATTGAACTTTTTAGTCCAGCATACGATAGTAACATACAGAGTATTTTGGTTTGGAAAGACTTAACATGTACACATTATGTTAAAGACTATGAAATAAGTCAGTCAGATGCAACGTAGAACTTCGTACATCAGTACATCAGTTCATGTTGCCATACCACATTAGCACAGAGATGTAATTGTCAATTCAAATCCAATGGTAGTAGAGATTAAATACATACCTATGAAGATGACATTCAGTCACTTCAAATCCTATTATAGTACAAGTATTAGCAGTGATCGTAGTGGTTAGGATGAAATAATTTGGCAACCAGTCCAGAAACTACTAAAAACAGGACTGTAGCGCCTTAAGAATAGGTTTAAAGCACAACCTTAGATAACTAAGCGGGACTAAACAGGGAGCCACGCCAACTATAACTGCCTTATTTTAAAACATTAACTGAAGTGTAGCATAAGAAATAGAATGGTAAGGGTATGGATACTTACATAAACTTTTAACAAACTAGTTACAAAGTCCCCATTAGGGCTAATATTGGGAATAATGCGATTGGAAAAAAAATAAGGCCGATTACGCAACAGAAAAAAAAATGTTGATATTAAGTTACAATCTTAGACCCAAGAGCAATCAGATTCAAATGAGTTAAGAATGGAATAGAAAATCAATGTTACGGAATATATGCTACGGTCTTACATGAACAGTAGAGAGATTCTTTGTGATTCGGGGGTTGACTTTATAGCGAGTTAGGGTTCTAAAGCATTTATTCATATAAAATATTATGGTACCTCACATGCTAGCAAATGGGTTCACAGAAAACTTGGTGGCGATTGCTAGTGGAACCAGCTAGTTAGAGTACATATTTCAATATATTTAGACAATAGCGTCCTGATTCTAAATTTTTAAGTTTATCATATACTTCGTATATATGGTGTTATGATTTTAAAGTGACATAGTAGCGTGAAAAATAATAATAACCAAATTACGAGGTTTAGATGGTGTTGTTAGGAATAGTCAGTTTATGCTAAGCAGATTTATCACGTACAAGGTCAGCGGAGGTTGACGAGTAAGTAACGTACTTTTATATCCTAAATTCCATACTAGACAAATTATGTATGTGCATAATTGCTTGTTAACAAGGAACGAACGTAGCTCTCACAGTGGAGTAAAGTCAAATAAAGATTAAAAAGTAAACTAATTATGGTTACAAACCTTGTATATCCTATCAATGAATTCGCACACCGTTTTAGCTTTCTCGAAACAAACACAGAACGGAATGATGAACACTTCAACTATAGCCAATACAAAAGCCATTGGCCAAGCCAATAACCAGATAAGCAGCCACAGGATAGACCAACACAGTCCAGGACACCAACTAGTCTTATTCTAAACAAATTAGATGCAAGAAAAATGACATACTGATGGCATCTTCATTACACGAATAAGCGATGACCTTGACTGTAAGTTCGTAGTTTAAGCAGGAGGACAGGAAACGGTTCAATATATCCAGTCTCGTTTTCACGGGGTAGTATAAACCAGTTGATTGCCTTGCGCTCGATTCTTGTTCCTTCAGTGCGGTCCCAGGTGTTTGGTAGTGTCCAATGAATGGAAATCTGGCCACTCGACTGTCTAATTCGAATCACTTGGCTGTTGGTTGTGACATTGTATGTCCCGTGATTAGATTGAATACGTTTGTTTCAGGGCAGTAGGGTTTCTGGATACCAGCAGCTATCACGTTAACAGATCCGTTAGTTGCAATGTGGAGAATACTAAGGAGAATGTCCTCATGTTGATAAGAAGATTTCAGAACTAAGAAAACTAATGGATAATTCGGTTTATTAATTGGTAGTGAAGATTGTGTCAGAGGACCGGAGTGTAAGCGAGGAAGAAGAAACAGATGTAATAAGTGCGATAGATGGCAACAATAACAACTAGCAGGTCTCAAGACATGCATCAAGCACAGCTGTTTCACGAGGGAGATGGTAGTCCGTACCTGAGTACACATTTATCAGGTCTCTTCTTGAAGATGTCAACTGAGGGGTCTGTGGTCACCTGGGTAAGCATTGCAAGTCGCAGTGACTCTTAATGAGAAAAAGTGTGCAAGGAACTTATTATCTGCTCTTTGATGCTAAATTTTCCTAGGATTGCTTCGAGTGGTGGTGATGCATCAGTTAAGTACTCATGTTGAAATGGTTTGGCATTCCTAATATGTTACACACCATAACCGGGTCGTCTCTGATTCTCCTGCAACTCAGTGGGAATAATTTCAAGGGCTGGAATCTATCTTCTTAAGGTTTATTCTTCAACCCCATCATCCATTCTGTTGCTCGTCTCTGCACTCAATCGAAGAGATTCATGTCTCTTTTAAGCAGAGGGAGTGCGACGACTTTGTGAACCTGAAGCTTTGGGCGTGCATATGTCCTAAACAGCGTTAGGAATAATTCGGAAGTGATAGCACCAAGTTGTCTTCGCATAAAGTGAAGAGTTGCATTTGCTTTGTCTGCATCCCCTACATAGTTCGACCTGGTGTGGTTTTCAGTGGTTATTTAACCGAGCTCACGCCCTGAGGAGACATTAGGGGGCGGACTTCCAGTGAGGGTGTAAATCGTTTGCGTCATGTGGAGCAGAATGTACATGACGTAGCACTTCGTCTGGTTTAGTTTTAAATCTTTTTTCAGTGCTCATTTCTCAATGGAGTTAAGATCCTTTTGGAGTTCAGTCGAATCCTCTCCGTTTCTAAGGGACTTCCGGATCTTTGCATTGTCTGCTTAAATCAGTGCCGGTGAGCTAATTGTGTCTAAATGGTCGTTAAAGAATATCAGGAAGAGAAGTGGACCTAAGATGGTCCCCTATGAAACTCCTGATGTGGATACTCACCATCCCGCGTGCACTCTATTTACCTTGGTACGAAACTTTCTATTCTCATGGTAGTTTGTGAGCCAAGATAGTAGGTCAGTGAAGCCTGCTTCTGCAACCTTCGCGATTAGGCGTGCGTGGTGTACTCTAAAGGCCTTCTCAAAGTCAAGAAATATTATGTGCTCCTGTGTTTTTCGGTCCATGCAGGATTTCCAACTGTCCATGCTATGAGAAGATTAGATGCACACGACCTGCCTTTTCGAAACCCGTGTTGAACCTCATGGAGTATTCTTTTCTCATCCACATACTCCCGCATTTGTTCGTTCACCAGCTGTTCCATTACCTTTGATAGTGTTGGTAATATTGCTACTGGTCTGTAACAGGCTGGGTCCTTTATAACTTCCCCTTTGAAGATTAGAGAGTGAGAGTTTATATTCCACTGGGAGTTGGTGTGACCCCAGTGAATGCCTGAACAGGTCACGTATTGGTGAACATAAGGCTTCCACAGATTGCTTCAAGATTGTGGGGTGAATATTGTCGCAACCTGGTGGCTTTCCTGGATGTAAGGATATTAGTCTCTCTAGCACTAAGTCAGGAGTAATACGGATATTCCCTAAGCCATCAGCTGGCACTGGGCTTGCATCGTACATGTGGATACCTGGATTAAATGATCAGTGAAGTTTCTATGTAAGACCTTAGCTATCTCCAGGTTGGTGAGATCTTCCCCGTTCGGACCTTTGAGAGAACACAAACCCTGATTCGTAGGTGTTCTGTTTGTCATGAACCTAAGCACATGCTTAGGGTGTGTCATTTCGAACTTTCGCATTGCATCTGTTTCTCAAAGCCCAGTAAGACCACGATCGGAATCCTTCAAGGAGACCTTTCTATTGTGCCAGGCTCTCCTGTTCGCCTGTGGCAAGCGTTCAGTGCCGCGCCTAACCCGTGTTCTTCTACTCCGGGTTGTATGGTGTGACCGAAATACATTGTCTACGACAGCATTCTGGATGATGTCTCTCACTGCTTGCCAGTGATCATCCTCCACCACTCACGTGGCCATGGGGCATGCAGGCGGATCTCTGTCATTCGCTCATGATTTGCCCTAGTGTAGTAAAGAAAGGGCTCGTTTTCGTCCTGTGTGTTTCGTTTATGACCATGTTAAATAAAACTATGCCATGGTCATTAGTTCCTATTGGTGTATGGAGGTGAACATCCTCGACCAGTAGCTGATCACCTGTTAACACATAATCCAGGTTTGAGGACTTTCCCTCCTTAGTCCATCTAGTTGCACTGCATACATAATTAGTTAGCCCAGAGCCTCTAATGGCTGTGCCAAGTCGTCTTTGGAACCAACTAGAGGGAGGTGTACCCTGAGAACATTCAGCAAAGTAATTGAATTTAGTATATCGTCCCCGGACGATTATTTTTAATCCTGTTTAAGACGTACGCACGCCCACACTTAGAGGTTCACAACGTCATCGCACACCCTCTGCTTAAAAGAGACATAAATCTCTTGGATCGAGTGCAGAGATGAGCAAACAAATGGGTGATAGGGTTCAAAAATAAACCCTACGACGATGGACTCCAGCTCTTGGGATTATTTTCACTGAGTTACAGGAGAATCAGAGGTGACCTGATTATGGCGTACACCATATTAAACACGCCAAACCATCCCAATGTGAGCATCACTGATGCATCACCACCACTCCCCTCGAGGCGACCCTCGAAAGATTGCACATCAAAGAGCGACTACTCAGATAAGTGAACACTTTTTCTCATTGCTAGTCGTCGCAACTTGGAATGTTCTCCCACCCGAAGTAACCAAAGCCCCCTCAGCGGACTGCTTTAAGAAGAGACTTGATAATCACGTACTCACATACGGACTATCATCTTCCTCTTGGACAAGCTTTTCATGATGCATATCTTGAAACCTGCTAGTTGTTACCATTGCCATCTCCTCAGATCACTCAATTAATCTATCTCGCCCATTATCTCTGTTTCCTCCCCCTTGCCTACACTACGGTCCTCTCTCACAATCCTCACTACCAATTAACAAACTAAATTCATCTATATATTACTCAATTCTGAAATTTTATTCATATTATCATTTTAATTTTATCCTTATTACCCTTATTACTCTCCACATTGCAACTAACTGATCTCCGGCTTGGTAATGTGACGGCTGCTAGTATCCAGAAACCCTACTGCCCTGGAACAAACGTTTCATTCAAATCCCGAGACATACAAACTCACAACCAACTGCCAACTGACTAGAATTAGACAGTCAAGTGGCTAGACCTCCATCCATTGGACATTACTGAACACCTGGAACCGTGCCGAAAGAGCAAGAATCGAGCGCGAAGAAATCAAATAGGTTAACAATAACTCCTGAAAAAGATATTGGTTATTGGATATTGGAGTAGCCTTTTGTGGGTTAAGGTGTTGCTGTTCACGTTCATCACATTCATCCACTGTTCTGTATTAATTACAGATACTGGTGTGTAACAACAACCAGCAGTTTATTCGGTGTGCTGGTTTAGGTTTTGGCTGCTTTTATCGCCTGTTTCACTGGTTTAGTGCAAGGCGATTCGGGTTTATTTGTTGCAACAGACAGGTCAGGTAGTTTATTCATCTTGCAAATCTTTCTTGGTTAGCTTGTAGTGAACCTACTTTTATGAAGAGAACGTGATCGGTTTGATAAACAGCTGTACCAGTGATTGTTTTACCGTTTTCTTTGTTTATTCGTACTCAGTAGTCGCGAACATTCTGTTTGTATTGTCGCCATTTCCTACCGCCCTTTTTTCTGACACGATTTCTGTATTCCATCGATACCAAGAAATCTCTTGCAAATATATTTTATTGTCTGGATTGATTCTTCTTCTCTGTAGTGGTGATCAGTGTCACCCGGAACTCCAGCTACTACAGGCTAATGTAGAATCCTTTTTGAATGTTTTGTGTTTTGGAAAATCCCTCCATGTTTACATATTTTTGCTATGACACGACGGACTTTTTCTGTTGACATTTTTGGTATTTTATTTGATTCCAATTTGAGATTTTATCATTGTATATTGTTATTCTTTCTATATTTTGTACTTATATTGAAGTTTTTGTGTTTGCTTCTGAACTGTACATATGTTGTTTAAATTTGATATAATATGGCTACCGCCACATTTTTGGATTGATATCGTGCAGTATAGGAGTTCACCTAGACCTCGGAACATTGATACTCGTTTGGAGTAATTCTGAATTGGAAGACGCAATACTAGTTAGGTATTATTTGTATTTCCATTTGTCATTTGTAAATAGAAAATTTTCCCCTAGAATTATTGTGTTCTAATTTCAAAATCGGGAAGTGCGTCCAACCTACGTCTATTGGAATCGAATTGAACTGTCACGATGGAGAATTCAACTACAGTCTAACTAATATTGGAATTCAGTCCATTTACAGTCTGGAAATATCT